TAAAACTTGGTATATTGAAACTCCTGAAGCACATACCTTTTGCTTGCATGCTGGGAAGAACGCCATTTCTCACTGTCACATACCAACCCACGGCTCTATCATGCACCTTTTCACGGCATAAAAAGCTGCGAGCATATTTCACTTTACCAGTTGTTTAATAAGGCATGCGAAAACATTTTCGCTCGACATTTGTCCGTCTGAAAAGCTGCTCCCAAATCAAGCGGGCATAGTTGATGGGGTCTCGCCTTTAGCTTTATCATCATTTGTATCCATTATGAGGCGCTGGTTTTGGTTTAGGTGTTCATCAACATCATCAAGCAACATCATCATCATCATCATCATCATCATCATGAGATGGCCAAATATGTCTAGTGCTCGCTTCTTCATTTGTCAAAGTTACGCGCGCAACAAATCTAAAGACTTGCAACGCTTTTCCAAATGTTTTAGACGCTCGCATGCCACAATTGTTGCATGAACAGAGAGAGGCGGCAGAGTGTAGAGAGGGGGACAGACAATGGTTGCAGCATGCCTGACGAAGGCCAACACTTAACTTTAATAGAGTAGCTCAAGGGGCACAGCGGGGTTGCTGCTTGCAACAAGGAGTAGCTGCTAATGCGTCGCCAAACAGCCAAAGAGACGTCAAAACATGCAGGTGAGACAACAACTGCAGTTGCTCCACTTGGCTGCCGGTTCGCCAAGCCAAGCAGACTTTCAAACGCCGCACAGTGGCGCAAAACTCATTGAAATTGTTGTGCGCAAAGTCGTACAGCTGATAATGCGAATTAAAATTTAGATGCTTGACTAAGCGATGAATGAGCTTTAAATATTGCTAAAAATCAATAATTTTGTTGCCTAAGCTAACTAGATTATTTTGTTCAATCATAGTTCTTAGGGCTGTTTATTCAGGATCCTTTTTTCACTCTTATAGTTGTTCAGGAGTTGAAAAGAATTTATTGACTTTGAAGGCAAACTATTTAGCTTTATTGAAGCTAGAAACTTGAAATTTTTAACATTAACATATAAATATAATAATATATATAAATATTAGTAGTTTCGTCGTATAGTGTCGAGATTTTTTTGATATTTGTTTAATATTAAGACTCTTTAATGTAGTTAGACTTACACTTTTGATACTTTGCTCAGGCCAACAGCTTTTCACTAAAAATATATTGCAGTTATAGCGACGTTCATTAAAACTAAAACTTTTAAGCTTAAATTTTCCAACTTTGTAGATGGATTACCTGCTCCACATAAACACCTTAAAATATGGTCCCATGCGCAAATCAAAATTTATGAAAACATAAATCATAAAATTAAATTTGCTTTTATCCTAGTCTCTAAAAAATTGTTGAACCTATCTTAATATGTTCATGTATCGTAATAACTCTATATATAGTTTATTTGATTTATCTCAAAAGTATTTCCTCGCTTCTAGTTCCCTTAAAAAGTATCTTCAAATCGAACTTGCAGTATCTTAAGTTGTTTAGCCTAGCAATTGCTTCACTAAGAGCAGCTTTTATGTATTTAGATGTATTCCATTTCATGGTTTTATGTGTTTCACATAGATTATCTTACAATATTTATCTATATTATTTTTTTCATAATTATCTAGCTAAAATCTCAAATTGATTCAACTGTTTTCCCATTTTATTCAACTTAATCTTAAAATTGTTTTATTGAAAATAAAAACTTTGATTAATTTTGAACGAAATTAAATAGTTTTTGTAGCACGGTAATTGCATGCATCAACTGACTGTAAAAACCCGTCAAATGCCGCAAATACCAAAAGATAAATCGACGCGAATCGATGCGTGATACTCAGGAGGTGGCTTTTGATTTAGATCCAATGGCTCTCGACATATTGGTGACGTTTTGTAAGCTAAAAGAAAAAGGCAAAAAATATATATGAAAAAAAAAAAGAAAAATAAATAAAAAACAATTCGCGGAAACTCTGAGAGCCAACGCGCCTGGCGGTCTGCTCGATGAAAACGATCAATGGAGCTGCTGTTGCTGTTGCAGTTGCAGTTGTAGCTGGGGTCGGAGTCGGAGTCGGAGTCGTAGTTGGGGCTTGAGTTGTTCCTTAGCTTTCAATCGGAGCTGCTGCTGCTGCTGCTGTTGTCGGAGATTGGTTTTTCAAGTTTTCCAGCAGTCGGACGCTTTGGCATGCCGGGCATGGCGCTAATTAACTACTGCCGGTGTTTAGTTGAACCAATTGCTGATAATAAACATTTTTATTGATTTGTGATGATTGCCGACGTCGACGAACGGCCAGCAATTGTCACCAGTGCACAGGTGCACAGAAAGTGACATCTACTCGCCGCACTCGCTGCTCTCTGCTTGGCAATTTATTAAATGCAATTTATTTGCAATTGCTTCCGAGAAGCAGGAGGTGCTCCTAACCCTGTCCTGGATTAGCCAGTGCCAGCTCGCAGAGCCCATTGCCAGTGCATTCTAGGAAGCAGCCTCAGCTTCAGCTTCTGCTTCTTATCTTTTCTTTTGCTTTTTTTCGCCAGGCATAATTGCCACCGGTCTTACAGATAGGCATCACCCAGCGCCAATTTGTTGTGTCGCCTCAGCAAGAGAAATAAAAAAAACTATATATATATACATATCTTATATATATATATATATCTCATGTATATGCGACAACAAAAACGAGTTACCCTCGCGCGCACCTTTTTTATGGTCGTTACGTGTCGCGGTCGCCGAAAACCACCAGAAATTAAAAACGAGCAGGCCTCAGGCAGCAGTGCACGACTAGCATATACCCTAGCCTTGGGTAACGCTGCAATATTGGCTCAAATATTAGTTGAAATTCGCTTTATTTCATCAGAAAGCTAAATTCAATTGCTTTGAACGACTAGCAGTTACCCCGCAAATTAACTTGAAGCATTTTCTGTTTTATTTCTAATAACAAGTTATGAAAAAATATCAAAATATTTATAGTAAATATATTCAAGTCTAACTTGCGCAACTAATACATGCCCCATCTGAGCGCCTTAGCATATTCACAACTCTATTTATGTTCTAAGCTCTAATAGTCTCAGAGTTACTTCGGATAATGTGAACTTTAATAGTTGTAGATAGATACAAATATATAAATCTAAAGGACTTGTTGAAGATTTCCTTGTATTTGTGAGACTTGTTCTGATATTGTTTGCAAGATGTATCAATTTAAAAAGTCTATATAGTACCTTAATATACCCTGTACTTAGAAACCCAGCTAAATGCCAGCTTATAATGTTGAGCACTATCTATATACCAACATTCAACTCTATAGCTTTCATAAGTTCTGAGTTCAATGGGTCTAGTTGGCCTCAAGTGACTATACTATGAGTTGCAATGGCTCTAAGTCATTATCGTTATAAAATTTGTTCAGCATGGATATATAAAATATTACAAGCATAACTTGTATAACTCTAAAGCATATAAAAGCTGAGATCCATGAGTTCGTTACAAACTTACCCATTGAACTGAGGCACTCTACGAGCTAGAGCCTTGCCATTTGCTATAATAAATCAGAAATCAAAAGGTGCATGATACCCACTGCTTGCATGTGGACAGGGTATTGAAAAGCCACACAAAATATTCGCCATAAAATTGTTGGAGACGCATGTCGTCAGCTTCCATAAAAAATCTTATCAGATTTACAGGCGAAACTTCTAAGTAAACCCATAAAAGAAATTACGCGAGGTTTCTGTATTTTAGTTTCAACTTGTGTTTGGTTTTTATTTCATTTACTCTAAATATTTCGTAGTGTCTTGTGTTGATTCCTTTGTTATATGCTACACATTAAAAATGCTTGGTGCTTATGTAAGACATGGATCATAATTGTAGCTGCCATGCGTTGATTAATCAAATGTACACACAGATATATGTATGCTGTATGCTATATGTTATATGTTGTATATTTGATTGGTATACATAAATAGGGAAGGGAGCGCAAGGCGCTTTAAACTATATGAATTATTATATATTTTTGGATAGTTTTATTATGATAATACCAACTAGTTATAGAATAGAAAAATTCATTGTGTTTACCTTTTGAAAACTATCACACATTAATCAAAACTACTCTATTCATAATTACGATATTTCTTAACTAGGCATAGTATTTTTATTATTTATTTTTTTATGTTTATCATGATTTTCTATATATATATTAATACTAGGCTGTTCTTTTGATATAAACAAAAAACTGGGGCAAGATTTACTTTTTTTAAATATATGAATTTCGTTTGAGTTTAACTTAAATGTATATTTATATAATTCTATAATTAAATTTCTATATAAAATATTTTTTAAAAATATTTTTGTGGCAACTTTTTAGTTTTGAGAAAGAAATATAATTTACCAATCATTTTTTAATTTAAAATTTAATTAATTAATCAATTAATCTAAAAAAAAAAGATTTTGAAGAATGGTATTTAAAAATTGTATTTTATATATTTCTTTGCAAATTGCATTTGGAAAATTGATTTTATATTTTTATAATATTTTTAAATTCAATTTTGAAAAATTTCTTTGAAAATTATATTTGAAAAATTTGTATTTAAATATTTTCAACAAATTCTTTTATTAAGCAAAACTTTTAATGAAATGTTATAATATTTAAAAGTTGTTAAAAACTTTTGCGAAATATTAACGAATGTTGTTAAAAATACATTTTTCTTACCTCTTTTAAGAAACCCAAAAATTGTTCAAATTTTTAAAAACAACTGTAAATTTAAAATATTAATAAAAATGTACCAAAAAGTCGGCTAAGATTTAAAGCTTAAATGAATAGGAAATTATTAACATACGCATGAACAGTCTGAGATATAAATACATTAATATTCTATGCAGAATTTGTTTTAAGCGGGAATACCATTGATATTGAACATTGCTTTGCTGCTAGATATTACTACAACATAGATCCTTAACCTCAAGGACGCTAGAGTTTTAAAATGCCATTAGATAGTTGAGTATTTAGATTTAGTTTTAGTTTAGTTGTGGTTGCTATATTTAGTATAGTTAATAATACTTAGGCGCTGCTGCTGGAGCGCTCGGTGCTGAGCAGTTCGCCAGCTCGCAGCGTCTCCTGCGGCACTTGCTCCACCTCGATGTATTCCTCCTCCTCCTGCTGCACGGGCAGCGCAGCGGCGTTTGGCGAATTCGGTGGCTCCGACTCGTAGAGCTCCTGCTTGACGTGGCTGGGACTGAGCGTCAGAGGTGAGCTGGCCGTCGAGCTATGCGTCTCCTGCTTGGGGCGCGCAGCGGCTGCAATTGCTGCCGACTGCGTGCGCAGCTCGTGCGCTCGCTGATGATGCTCCAGCTCGGCGCGAAAGTAGAATTTCTCCGGGCACAAATTGCAGTCGTACGGACGCGTGCCGTGCTCCGCTATGTGGGCGAGCAGGCCAGCGGGTGCCGTGAAGACGGCCGAGCAGATGTAGCAATTGTAGCCACGCTGCTCGGTGCCGGCAAACGTGTGCTCGACGAGATGTTCCTGCAGCTTCTGGGCGTGTGGCAAGATCATTTTGCAGAGATTACAGCGATGCTCCAGATAGCCACTGGCGGCAGCTGCAGCGGCAGCTGGGGCAGCTAATGCTGTTGGCTGCACTTGCTCCTTGCGCTTGCCATTCAGATTGTGCTTGCGACAACATTTCTCGCACAACTTGGCCGTTTCTCCAGCGCCGGGCAGCGGCTCCAGGCACAGGGCGCAGACGGGCTCCTGCAGGCTGTTGCAGCTGGGCGATTTGGTATGGAATTTGGCATGCAAGCTCAGCTCGAATTCGGAGTGCAGTGTCTGGCGACAGCAGATGCAGGCCATGGGCAGATTGCCATCGTTGCCATGCTCGCCCAGGTGAGCGCGGAAGGCGGCCACATGCTCCAGCTGCTGGCCGCAGTGGGCGCACTTGCCGGACTGCCCCACCTTGGAGTGCTGCAGCTTGTGCTCGGCGAGTATGGCCGGCGAGGGAAAGATCTCGTCGCAGATGAGACACTTGTGCTTGCCGCTCGAGTTGTGGCAGCTCTTCATGTGCTGCTCCAGCTCGGCGCGACTCTTATAGTTGCCCGAGCAGTAGGCGCAGCGCAGACTGACGCCCGTCTTCAGGTTGTGGGCGAGTTTGCGATGCGAATGCAGCTCGGCCTCGCTGCGCAAGTCCTGGCGTTCGCACATGCCGCAGCTGTAGCTGTTGTTGCTGCTGCTGCTGGCACTCGCCGCCGTCGCCGCTTGCACAGCCTGAGGCGTGGGCAGCTCGGCGGCACTGGCATTGGCCGGCGAATTGGCCTTCGCCGCGTACATTTCCATCAAATAGCGCTGGCTCAGGCCGTACATCAGGGCTGGGTGCGGCGCTTGCTTGGTGTCCACTTGCAGCGGGCTGTTGTAGAACTTGCTCGGCGGGTTGTTGCCGCCGAACAAGCCCTTGAAGGCGACGTTGTAGTCTATGTGCAGGTTGCTATTGTTGTTGTTGTTGTTGTTGTTGTTGGCATTGTTTGCTGCGGCAGCAGCTGCAGCGGCCGCAGCCAGAGGCGGCAGCAATGCATTCACATACAAGCTGCCCATGTTGCCAGCCACAGGCGACTCCTTGTCCTTGATGCCACCGTGCTGGCTCTGCATGTGCCGGTCCAGCAGGAATTCCACGTGAAACGTTTCCGGGCAGCTGGGGCAGCGGAATTGTCGCGCATGCGCCGCCAAGTGGAAGTGCATCTCCAGCTCCGATGAGCAGACGGCGCGACAGAACATGCACTGCAAGGGATTGGCCGGCGCTGGCGGATTGCCCAGGCCCTGATTGCCCAGCTGGTGGCGCGTCTTGACATGCACATGGAAGTCGGCATCGTTGCGGAAGAGCTCCAGGCAGGCGCTGCACCGCAGCAGCTTCGACTCCTGACTGTGCGCACAGGCCAGATGCAGCTGCATCGACATGCGGTTCTCGCACAGCTCTGAGCAGAGCACACACTTGAGCATGGTCTGCACGTGCTCGGCCAGCAGATGCTGATGCAGCTCCTCGGCCTTGGCGTAGGACTTGCCGCAGCTGGCGCTGCAGCAATTGAACTCCGAGCTGCTGATCAAAAAGTGGGCAACCACGTGGCGCTCGTATTCGCACTGCTCGGGCAGACTCAGCCCGCAATGCGGACAGATCAGCTGCATGCCCTCGGCTATGTGACTCTTCAGATGGTTCCGGAAGCTCTCGAAGTCCGGCAGCCCAGCGTTGCACTGATTGCAAAAGAAGATGCCCGGCGGCGGCGGCGGCTGCTGTGTGGGCGATGTCAGAGGACGTCGCTTATTGCTGCTCAAGTCGGTGGGCAGCTCCTGTTCGGGCTTCTCCGACGCCGCCAAATCCGACTTGACCTTCGACTGCGGCGAGCCGAGGCGATTGAACTGCTCGTAATAGGCATTGGGACTGCTGAGCCGATCCAAGTGCGTCACTCTCATGTGCTGGAACAGCGCCGCGATGTTCACAAACTTCATCGTGCAATATTCGCAGCTCAATTGAAAGCCATTCGTCTGGCCATCCGCATCCTTTTGCTGCTGCTGCTGCTGCTGCTGCTGCTGCTGCTGCTCGTGTGTGCTCTGCAGATGCGCATTTAGCTGCTCGAGACTGCTGAACTCCGTTGCCTTGGGACAGTAGCTGCAGCGCAGCAGCGGCGTGGGCGTGGCTATCGTTGTGGCCGTGGGCGTGCTCGTTAGCTGTCCACGCGCCCGCTTCGGAAACTCCAGCCGGCTGGGACTGCTGTCGGAGGCCAGCGCCAAGGCATAGCGACGCTTGTGCAAGCTGCCATTGCTCGATATCGAGGCAGAGCCCGTGGACCGCGGACTATAGTTGAGCGCATTGGGATTGCCGCCAGCTGCCAGTATCGCGGCGTTCTTCTTGTGCTTCTGCATGTGGGAGGTCAGGGCGGCGGCCGTGTTGTAGCCACGATTGCACATGCTGCACTGGAAGGGCTTCTGGATGTCGTGTGTCTTCATGTGAATCTTCAAATGATCGCTGCAAGCAGGAATCGAGCAGAAGCCCAGAAGAGAGGGAGCTTTAGTTATGGCTAAATTTGACTATAGATCAAAGTCTAGGAAGAGTCAAGACACTTGGGGTGGGGTCTATAGGATCTTGACTAAGCAAATGTTATCTACAGACTAAAAGGAGAACTGAAACAGCTGAGAGAGTTGAGTGGCTGAAGAAGAGAAGGCATAGCTTGTAGAGTATATGTTGGCAGTGCATATAGGATATGTGTTAGTATATAGGGTATTAAATGTGGGACATTGCCCATAAAGTCTAGACTGTGCAATCTGAACTATAGATTGCTGGCTATTGGTGGTATTCCTATACTATTATAGGGCAGGGGGCATAGGACCTTGTTAAGGAGGAAAGTGCACATCAAGAGCATTGACTTGCAGTATTTTTGGCAGAGTATTAACTATAGGGTATTACCTTTAGACTGGCTATGACATCTTCTCGATATATGTGACACTTGTTTGTTATTCTTAGCGCTCAAATGTCTTTAACAAGCTACTTTTGTTTTTAATTTTTATAGCTGATTTGTTTTCAGAGAAATCTCTAGTCTCACATTGTCTTATGGAGGGCTTCTTCATATTCTCAATGTACTAAATGCCTAGCAAGCTTCGATTAGTGTAGCAAAATGTGGCACAAACTAAAGCAAGAAATCATTCACTTTCTGTACACCTTCAACACTTTCCAATATTTCTAGCTAAAGTCTTTGTATAACACTCTGAGGCTTAATAACCTCCCATTTGTTTAGCTGCTTGACTATTTAAGTAGATTCTCACTCTTCTAAGCTCCTTTTTTAGAGGCATTTGCAAGACTTTAACTTCTCTTTATTAAGTCTTTACTTTACTTTATTTTAGGTATAGATCCTAACTCCTATTATTCAATTTAATTTTTAAATAATTTTTAAAGTCTCTTTTTTACTTTACTTTACTTTAGGTATAGATCCTAACTACTATTATTCAATTTAATTTTTAAATAATTTTTAAAGTCTCTTACAATTTCGGCTCGCCTTTGGGCTCATGATTTATAATTTAATTTTATTTAGTTTTAGATGTTACGTTTTAGTACTACGAGCTTTATTTTCTCTCTTATCTGAAGTCATATATATAGACTCATAAAAGAACTTATATATATTAGACTTTTATATGGAAGGTTTCTTTTTTCAGGCTGAAGCTTAGTTCAACTGAAGAAAGCTATGCCTCCCTATCCCTCTCTCTCTCTCTCTCCTCTCTCCCTCTCCCTCTCTCTCTCTCTCTCCTCTCCCTCTCCTCTCTCTCTCATCCCTCTTCTCTCTCCTCTCTCTCTTTCTCTCTCTATCTCTCTCTCTCTCCCTGTTTCCCTCCCTCTGTCTCAGTCTCTTGTTTATTTACTCTCTCTTCAGATTTCTTGTTAACTTAGATTTTCATATAAATGCAGCTACATTTATCTTTATCCATATACAAACATCCCATTCTCTCCGTCGACTACTTGCTATCTTTAATTTCCAATAGCTTTTTATACCCTATATTTTTTGTAGTCTTTATGTACTTCAAGGTTTCATTTGGGTCACAGCCTAAGTTCCAAATACTTCTCTTCACTTTGTTGATCGGATGCAACTTTAAGACGTTATCTTTGGGTTTAGCTTGTCTGCCTTAGACCAAGCCTCACTTTACTCTAGTTTCCCCTAAGTTTCTTCAGCCTTTCTTCCCCCAATGCATGGCTATTTCTGTCCTTTATCAGCTAGCTTCATGGCACTTACCTTCTGGAGAAAGCAGCCTCGCAATGCGGACACTTGTAGTTCCTCTCATTTGTATGCAGCTTCTTGTGGCGATCTCGCGAGCGCTTGTGCTTGAAGAGCTTCGCGCAGTATTCGCACTTGAAAGGCAAGTGTTCGGCATGGCTCTGAAAGAGAAAGAGGAGTAGTATGAACAGGAGTTAGACAGAGACAGTGCTTAGCGCGAGTTCAACAAGTGCTTTGGGGGCTCTGATATCTAGTTCCGAGGCGAGGCGAGGCTCGCCTGCTCGTCTGACTAACCTATTTGAAATTCTTAGAAGTTGTCGAGCTGTTGTCGACTCGCCTGATTCCTGTCTTGAATTTATTGCTGCAGTTGGCTAAAAATTCAAACCGATTCAGAATCTGCATAGCAGTGAGTTCGAGAGGGCGTAGGGGGCGTGCGAGGGCGGTTCACGTAGGTGTTTCGCTTGGCTTGTGGACAAAAATTCATCTAAATGCGCAACGCAAACGCCACAAAATGCTGAGCCGTGTGGAAGGGGAGGGACGGGCGAGGGACACGGGGGTGTTTAGCTCCACACACACACACACACACACACACACACACATGTAGACACTCGCACACACCCGCAACCGGTTTACTTTTTGGGTTCTTTGGCGGTCGGCGCATTCGCTTTGAAGTACATTAAAAAAAGTTTTTTTTTTTTTGCAAAAAATTAGCCCATTTGTATGCAAGTCCCCCGACTGAAGTTTGGCTTATTGCACAATATGAGCGTCGAGTGTTGGCCCGGCCGGGATTCTCGTGTCGGTTATGGTTTTTTAAACTGTCGCGCCAATCATCCACATCATCAGCATATTGCCCATATTTCTACCCCGCCTAGGATCAAAGCGATGCGCATTATGTTTGAGCCACGATAAGCGATCTGCAGTAGTCCTAAACACAGTTGCAATTGGGTTAACAACTTGTTTGCCGCTGCTGATGTCATGGGCGTTCCTATACCCGCCCAACAACAGCAACAACAACGGCCAGAAGAAGAAGAGTAGCCAGAGCAACACATCAGCATGATGAGACATGCCTTCAAGTGGGTGAACATCGAGTGTTACGTGTTTGGGTTTTGTTTGAAATGCTACCGAAAACGTATTTGTTTCTCTTCCTCTTCGCTTCGCTTTGTAGGCACTTTGCCGTCCTCTAAGAATGCTCTGTTTTATATGTATAAAGGCCGCTAGATATGCATCGCATATATAGGAATTTTTTTGTTTTTTTTTTTTTGTTTTTTTCGGTAGAGAAACTTTTTTGCAGGCAATGAACATTTTTGCACGAATGCGATCGCATGGATAAGCTGGGCGGGAGCTTGGAGATTAAATAAATCATTTATATGGGCAAGATCTATGGATTATAGTAGGGTCTATATATTTATATATAGATATATGTCTACTATAAGCCACTATTGCATATTCATAACAATTTAAATTTAAAAACAATCAATTGAAAGAGAAGTTGAAAGCTGCCTGGAATTATAAGAAAGTTGAAGGAAGTTTTCTATAACTTCATAGTTACATAATGGCTTAGCTTTATCTATATATAACTTCAGCTGCTTCAAGAACTTGTTTCACTCCACAGCCAAAGTTAAGTTAGATCTAGCTTAATACGACTGCCTCCATATACTTTATTTTTATTCAAGACTTCAGCATTAAGTTTGAGCTTATTTTGCTAGTAAAATTTAATTTAAATTTATTCCTTATCAACTTTCTTTGCAGAGTATCAGAGTTTAAAGGAATTTGATTTTACAAGTAGAAACCTTTAATTCAGGAACATATTTGTGCAGTCTTTTAACATCTATATCATATGATTTACATTATTCAATTAATATGCTGCAATGCATTTTTGTTTTTTATTTTTTTATAGTCTATTTCCTATTTCAAAGTTCTAATTAGCTTAAGCACAGTTTCTATACTTATTCCGTAATTTCATTTAGTTTGTAATTTCAGGCGAAAACTTGAGTTATTCTCAAGTATAAGTATAAAACGTATAAGTATAAAAGTCTAGTCTAGTCTTATTGCCCAAAATGTTTAAATTTAATGTTGAACTATTCTATAGATTTTATTTAGCTTGGCCAATTTGAAAAAACTGCAACTGGAATAGATAAAATTACTATTCAGCTGCTCTACAAATAGAGCTAGATAAATGATACGCCTCATTTGTTAGACTCCTCTATAGATAGACATATTTAACAGATATCTGTTTTATAGGACTATCTATATGGAGTGAGGTTGAACAGCAATCTATCAATCTATCATCTTTACATCTATTTATCTATCCAGCTATCTCTCTATATATCTATCCATATAGCTATTTATTATATAGATAAATATCTATCTATATAGCTATTTATTATATAGATAAATAAATAGCTATATAGATAGATATATAGAGAGATAGATGTATAGATAGATAGATATAGATGATAGATTCTATCTATCTATATATTTATATATTTATATCTATCTATCTATCCATCAATCTATCTATTTATCTATTTATCATCTGCCTATCTATATCTATATATCTATCTATATATATTATATATATGTATCTATATATCTATATCTATATATCTATCTATATATATTATATATATGTATCTATCTATCTATATATTATCTATCTTTGAATATTGTAAATAATACAGAAATATTGCTATTTTTAATTAAGTTTAGCTTTAATTTGTTTTCATCTGCTTTAAGCTGCAACAAAAATAAAATTTTCCTTTTTATAGCAACTTTTTTGCTTCAGCTTTTCTTTAGATCAAATTGCACTTTCTCCTTTGATTACTTAACTCTTCTAATCCTTCAGATTTTCATTAATTTTCTCTAATTTCTTTTTCATTTTAACTTAATTAGTTGCAGTTTGAGCGGTGTTCTTTACCTGCAGATCCTTTTGCTAAAAATAAAATTTAGCGAAATCATAAACTAATTTATCATTATATTTTTTTTTCATTATTATATTATCATTTAATTTAATCAATGCTTTTCCAGCTCAGCAATGGCCTTAAGCCTTTTCAAGCCAAACAATCGATAGCAATTAACGATTCACGCGCCGCGCGACATTTGATTACTTAATGTGCCGCAAAAGGATGCCTCAGTGGCTGCCTCTGTGGCCTCAGCGCTGACTGACGCCAAACATAGTGCCCCATTTAGAACCACCTTAAGCAGACGTGCGACAGCCACCCAAACACTAAGCGCCTTACATAATGTCAGGTTGAGTAATTAACCCGTTCGTGGGGTCTGTCACCCTGAGGAGGCACCGAACTCACCTGCACGTGATGCTTCAAGTAGCCGAGTCGCGGAAATGATTTATCACAGAACTGACACTGATAGGAGCCGTCGCCGCGACTTTTAATCCCCTCCCCTGTCAACTTATCAAACTTGGCGGCTGTGCCATGTCCTTGTCCTTGTCCTGCAGCCAGTTTTGCATCCTTATTGATTTTGCGCAGCTTGTTCGCCAGTTTCAGCGCCTGCTGATGATGATAATGATGATGATGATGATGATGCAAGTGTGCCGGTCGCTTCGGCTTGCTCAACTCCTGCTCCAGTTCCGTTTGCTGTGCAGCATCGCCGTTCGCCTTGGCCTCCTCGCCGGGCTCCTCGCCTGCCTGTGGCTGTGGCTGCTGCGACGACTGCTGCTGCTGCTGCTGCTGCTGCTGGGAGTTGGGCGTCAAAGTGCCATCCGAGATGCTGGGCGAGTAGCTCGATGAAGTGTGCGTGCTGTACATATCTGTAAGACAAAAAGCATCCATAGGGTATCAAGTAGTTTGTAATTAAGCGCATGTCGTGTGGGCAGCGACTGCATCCTTATTAGCTCGTCGGCTTTCGCTCTCTCAGTTGCTCCGACTGTGACTAAGACAGGAAATCAAAATTGGTTGCCAACACTTAATTCAATTAACACATGCAACATGTTTTTGGTGTTGCCTCCACCCCAGGCACAGACACTGGTCAATCAGACCCCCCCCCTTCCTTCCCCCAGCCCCGCCCACTTTTATCTCCCACTCTCGCTGACTGTAAATGAGCCGCACGTTTGTTTCATGCAAACTAATTGCGCTCGCTGTACTTAAGAGCATTTTAATTACAAGTTCTGGCTGCCACTTGACTCCGCCGCACACATTAGCATTAGCATCGGGGCAATGAGGGTCACTCCAATAAGTACACTGAGCGCAATTGGCGGGCGAGGGTCGCGTGAGAGAAACAGAAAATGATATTTACGAAAATTGCTGTTGCTGCTTAAGCTTATGGAGAGAAAGTTCTCTTCAATTGTATGCTTATATATATATGGTGGATAGCTTTCATAGGGATGAGTCCTGGAAGATATGATGATCGTATTTCAGAATTTTCTCATAGAGATTTGTTCATCTATATCTATAACTATATCTATATCTATATCTATATCTATATCTATATCTATATCTATATCTATATCTATATCTATATCTATATCTATATCTATATCTATATCTATATCTATATCTATATCTATATCTATATCTATATCTATATCTATATCTATATCTATATCTATATTTATATCTCTAATATATATTCATATCTATATCTTCTTTACATTCAATGAGAAATTATTTTGCTTTACTTTTTTTGTCTTCATAGACATTTGCCCTTTTTTTTATTTCCTATATTATTTAAAGTATTATGGAAACATTATTTAAGTTCCCAAATTTTACTATATATTTTTAAATATTTTGGGTTCCACTCAAGGCAATCTTTCCTATTCCAACTCACACCTGTATGCTTTAATCTTGACAAATCTTATTTTCCTTACGCTGGCACCCTTCAAACTTAAGATTCTTAAAATCTCTTTAAACTTTCTCAGCTTCACAATTTGCTGTAGATAGATCTGTTCAGCCTTAATCAAAACAAGCTTTAAAATATTTTTCTATTAAGTTTAAGAAATTGTTAATTTATCCTAAGAAATGACATTCATAATATGAATTATGTAAATTTCGTATATTCTACACTTGATCCCTAGTAATTTCTCTCAGTGCACACGACTACTTCTACATACATTTACTCATCTATCACCACGCGCCAAGTGTCGTCTCTTGTTTTGTTTTTGGTTCACTTTCCGTTTTGGAAAAACTTTAATTGAAGCTAATTGTGGCCGATGCGTATGTCCGTCCCCTGTCTATATAACTGCTGTACATATTACTACTATCTATCTATCTAGCTGTATCTGTTGGCTGTGCAGCTCTGTTTGTTTTGGCTGGCGTCGCTTGAACTCTGATCCGAAGTGTGGCTCCTCTTAGAGCTCCTCAAGCAGCAGCTTTTGGCCCCTTAATTAGGAAACATGAAAATAATGCATCAATTTAATTAATATCGGCGTCAATTGAGCATTATCTGCGACTCAGCTGTCAGCTCGCAGTGTGAGGAGTTACTTGGGTCAAAGAAAGTTAAAAGAGATTTCAGCAAATCTTAAGATTTGGTAGGGGCAGATGTCAGATGAAAGGCTTTGAGCTGATTGCAGCTATGGGCTATGAAATGGAGTTGAAGTAAGATTGGACAAGATTAGAAGACAATTAGAGGGAAGAGTAGAAGAAGAGGATAGAATGTAAAATTTATAAGTGCAATTGGAAAAAACTCGCTGAAAATCACTAAAATAATCAAAAATTTACGATTGATGAAAGATAAAATTGATAAGTGAGGCTCAATTTAACTAATCTAATTTATAGAGAATCAGATTAAATTATATTATATATCATATATGCTATGTTATATATCATAATATACACATATGAAGTTGCCTCAATTATTATTGGAATTTATTTGATCTATATAAATATATTATATATATTAAATATATTAAAGATATACCTAGAAATATATATTTGATACCAGTTTAGGCAAGATAGAAGAACTAGAAGACTAGCCTATATATAAAGTTTTCTATATATGCTAGCTAAAAGATTTATATATATATATAGGTTTAGAGTTGCACTAAAGAGTCGAAAAACTTTAAAGTAAAATTGAAATAATATTTAAATATTATTCAAATTGTATATCATGTTTTAAGCTTTAAACCAGCATAGACAACTGACCTAGATATGGTATATATAAATATATATCTCTATATATATTTCACTAAGAAATCCCATTCAATGTCTAATTCCAATCAAAAATATTTAAATTCAAAGAAAGTTTTTCAACTAGAACTCCTCAGTACTGGGCACCCATCACAAGGCTTTCCAAAGTTTTTAATTTTTCAAGCAATCGCTCTCTTAGCCACACTAATTACCATTATTTGTTATCTCCTTGGTCGCTTGAATCTTTTCAATTAAATTCTCTAAACGCGAACTGGGACCGCGATACAACATCTTTAAAGCCATCATGGCATTGTCAGCAATCAATCAATCAATCAAACAATCAATGAAATTGATTTCAAAAAACACAATTTGCACTAAACATTTATCACTAAGAACTTTGAAGCTGCTCCATGGGAATGCTTTTTGCCTTTGCTTGATTAAAATTACAAATTTTGTTATTCAATTAACGCGCGACACCAAAGGATCGCAATTGTTGTTGTTGTTGTTGATGTTGGCGCGACAATGTGGACGTCCTAATGCCGCGAGCACCAAAATGTGACTAAATCAGAGCCAAGAGCCAAGCGCCGTAGGAAACCCGAAGCAGTAAACGCCGTCGCTGTCGACGCCGTCGTCGTCGCAGCAGCCAAAAGGAACGGGCGTCAACGCCTATTCAACCAACAACAACAACGGCAATAAATGCGAGCACTTGGCGAACCAGTTGGTTGCCCAGCGCATGCGTGTCTGTGTGTGTGTGTGTGTCGGTGTGTGCGCTTGCATGTGTTGGTGCGTGTGCGGCCTGCCTTTTGGGATTCTCGCACCAAGCGCGCGACGTCGACGTCTCTGCTGCACTGCCAGCAAATGAGAAGCAACAAAGCAAAGCATTAAATGGCGCCCCATACACTGGCACACATACAAACACACACGAGTACACGCTAACGGAAGCCGAAACGCAGCCATGCGTGAGCGAGCGAGCGCAACCAAAAACACAGAGAGAGAGCAAGAGCGTCAATTTGGTATGTACATGTGTGCATGTGCTCTGTGTGTTTGTGTGTGTGCTGCCTATATACAGCCAGTCAAAAGGCGGAGCATGGGAGCCCCTATGGTGCGACTGTCACATTGGGCGTTCATTTAGCTTATGGGCGCGGGAGAGCGAGAGAGCTGGTGAGTGCGCACATACTTTGTTAATTTGTTGTGGAAGGGGAGGTAGCTGTACAATTTGATATATATTTCTTATTTATGTGAAAAGCAACCAAACCAAAAAAAGCAATAGAGCGAAGCTCAGGCCGCAAAGAAATATGCAAATTAGGCAAAATGTCAGGTGTTGAAGCTTTTGGAAAGTTTTTGTTTTAACTGCTATGGTATCTATTTGCGTTTGGGTTGGTCGACAGGTAAAATAAAGGTTTCTAATTCAGTTGAAAGCGTAGATATTGTGTTAATTTTTTAAGAGGATTTGTTTAATATGAGCAAATTAAAGTCTTAAATAATTTACAATTTATTGTTTAGCGTTATTCACAAAATTTTAGCTTTTATATATATATTTATAATTATATACGCAGATATTTATATGTACATTTTTTATATATTTCATTATTTTAATCATTATATTTATATCAGAATAACTATTTATGTATCATTTTTATTCCAGAGTTCTATCTTTACCTAGCCATAGATAAGAATATATAATATATAAACTGATCTACGTTAGCTAAATTATGCCGTTGTATTATAGTATATATAATATAATGTAATATATGATATATATAATATAATAATATTGCCTAGCTTGCTAAATATTTTCATTATTAGACTTTAATTAAGCATCTAGTTTATAATGAATATAAAGAGAATTAATTTAAAAAATCATATTTGAGTTTAGCAGAACTTACAATGAAATTTGTAAAATATTTAAAGAGAATAAGTTAAGAAATTTGAAAAAGCTTTTAACAAAATAGTAAATGCTGTGCATAATTTATTTTTTAGAATCTATTAGCTCATGAATATCCCTTTTTTTTTCAACATGTCAAAGTTGTTTTATCATTATCCAAAATCTCTCAAACTGCCGTTCCTCCAGTCTTTGTCATACTCTAATGCCCCCTCTGTCTCATTCTTATATCTTCCCATATTTCCCCATGTTAATATTTATAAACTACATCCATTTGCATATAAAATAAACGCATTACGAATGCCGTCAATAAAGCGGTAAAATTGACACAAAATGATGAGTCAAATAAAAAAAAAAGAAGAAACCAGGGAAAAAATCGGTTGAAAAGGCCAAAAACGGCAGAGAACACGTTTAAGCCATTAGCGCTAAAAGTCAGCAAATGTCGCCCGTCAATATGGCAAAAATTGTGGGCAACAAGGACAACGAGCCAGTGCCACCACAGGCTGCACTCAGAGGTAGTCAGCAGCAACACTCTGCATGCCACTAAAACCCAAATTAATTATGCATGCAACAGCAGCAACAGCAGCAACAGCAGCAGCAGCAGTAGCAGCTGCAAAGCCCCAAAAAGTGCAGTAGCAGCAAAAATTATTTTTTTCTGCTGCTGCTGTCAGCAGCACTTAACAACACGCCCTCTACCGCCGCTCACTTAAACAAAAAACTATTAAAGCAATTAAAAAATCACTTTACACATTAGCAGCTTTTGTTGCTGTTATATTTCTGCTCGTTTTTTTCTCTCATAGACAG